GGCAGAAGAGGGACACCAGCAAGGTGAAGTAGTTCTAATCTTCAGACGGAGACCGGGGGATGAAGAGGGTAGTTTTTTGAATCAATTACACAGACTTACTTCTAATCCCTGTCAGTGCAGCCTCACTCTCCATTCACATTATTCCACTGCTTCGCTACCACCGCCTCCAGAGAAAAACATAATTTTTTACCACCAGGGGTTTTTTTTGTAGCGAAGAGAGAAGCTACAGCAGCAGCAGCAGCAGCAGCAGAGTGAAGTTATTACTGCTCACCTTGACAGCAGCCAGAAAAACAAGACGTCTCTTAAATGAAATTACCTTATCCAGCATTTACCTCCTGCTGCGGTACAGCCAGAGTAATGAAGGCTGTACATGTTAGTGGAGGTGTGGCTGGGAGAAATAAAGTCAGACGTAGGTTCTCAAATTTGCTCCTGAGATCCCTGAATATATTTGTATTACACCTCTTCACATTTCCTGACTGGAGTTAGTCTTGGCCACAAACGAGGAATAAAGGAAGTCATAAAGTAGTAACCAAAGTGTTCTCTGGAACATTTTTAATAATCCGTCCATTGTGGCCCCAGACTTTTTCTAGCAGTTTTATTTAATGGAAACCATCAGGAAAGCTAAGCTAATCAGCTTCTATTTAAAATTATTATTATTATTTAGGTTTGTTTTCTCCAAAACATTGTTCTCTATTTTAATTCCATTCTATCCCTTGGCTATTTTCAGCATTTATTTATATAACTACTTAAACTATTTATTTTGTAATTTTTTTAATTTATCTTTAAGCCTGTATTTAATTTTGGCTGACTAACGTCTCATTGCTGTAAATGTCAAACATTTGCTGTCATTTCCTAGCATAAGCTAATCTCTTTCTGATGTATCATTGACACATTAGCACCTCAAGACTAAGTTTAAATGTTTAGTTTTTGTGGTTGAGGTTAAGTTTATTTCTGGCATTTGTTGATATGAGCTCAGTCATCGTTGCACTTTTTTATGTTTTCAGTTTTTGGTTATTTTTAGAATTGCTTAATAATTATTTTACTGAGCTTCAGCTATCTGGTATTGAGCCTTTGCAGAATGCCGGACAAGTAATTTAGCATGCACATGTAGGCATAAATTGCTTTTCATTATCAGTGTTTTTTCACTGTTTGAAAAACTGCTATTGTCTGCAACCGCCTGCTTCTTGAGACTTACATTTTTAATATTCAGAATCTCTCACACAAGTTAATCCTCTTAGAATGTGTTGGCTATTAAACATTTATAATATGACAAAAATGTGAAAATAAGTCTTTTGTGCCATTTCGTCAATGACACTGCATCCACGCACAACCGACTCAGCAGGGAGTGAGGGTGGGGTGTACTTACAGGCGGTGCAGACAGCCAGCCATACTTGTCCTCCGTGAGGTTCATGTCTCGGTCAAAGGTGTAGAGTTGAGAGTAGCGTAGTTCATCTGTATCCACCAGGTTAAACTGCCGCCGGGCGTAGTGATAACTTTGATTGTTGCCTTCTCTAGGGAAATCCAGCCACTCAGGGTGGCCAAACTCATTACCTGCCAGAGAGAAAGAGAAGCGGGGTCCTTAGAGAAGCTAGGGAATGTACAGGGAAAAAGGTAGTGGAGGCGCAGGTTTCTGGGAATTAGCATATGTTCCACCGCGCTGTGTTTTATGTAGTTCGTTTTCAGCTTTTGTGCAGTTTTTAACAAGGGGGAAAAGGGAGGCACATCAAAGAGAGCAGAATGACAGTCTGTGGTCTTTTTTTTAATAACCCCAGCAGAGGTTAGTCTACTCCATATTAAAACAATGCAACAAAGTCTCACTGCTTTTCCTCTAACTTTAGTGTTTCTGAGCCAGAGGAGGAAACTATATATTCATGAAACACTAATAGGAAAGAGGAGCTGAAAATGCATCAAGTGAAAAACATTAGCTGTAACACTGATCCTGGTTCTTTCTGGACCTTTTTCTAGAAGCTTTCTTCTGAAATGCTTCTAAGCCTGAATAATGCATCACTTCGCATCTTCTGGACAACAACCCACAGGTTGATCAGAGACTATGAACTGACCATAGTTATGAAATTGACTCTGAATGGTGGCTTGTCTCTTTATGTGGCCTTAGGATGGACTAGGATCTATCATGAGGGTCACAGCATGACAACCACTGTT